TCGAGTGGCAGCTCAGCAAGGATTTGACTTGGATCTTGGATACAGGCTACTGGCAGTATGTGCAGCCAACAGGGACAAGTTCACTCCAAAATCAGCTGGTAGGAAAAGGCTTTTTTTGGTGTATTACTGATTCTTGGATGGTCATATTCTGAATATATGCTATCTGCAACTGTCTTGCATTCTTCAAAAACCAAAACCGAACATGTATTTGGTGGTAACAGTGCTGCTGCTTTTAGCATTTCAATGGCGTGCTGTTCTGAGGATACATGACTTTGAAAATTTGTTTTTTCCCCAACTACCGCTGTTCATTGCCCTGTTTGATCTTATAGATGAAATGTTACTTCCAGAAGCACTGATATTCAGTAATTTCATGGTGGGAATGAACACACTCAGGCCCCTCCATCTTGATAAACCATTGATTTTCTGTCATGTGTCAACCTCTAAATCTTTCACATTCATTCTGCACTCCCAGATATATCTATTGCCAAACTTTTATTCTTTGACTGCGTATGTCTGTACAAAGTAGTACCATGGTTTCTCGTACATCTAGTCATTAGCTTTAGAATTTTGAGTAGGGGGCAATGCTATTGGTATAGTATTAAGTAGCCATTTTTTCCAGTATTATATGGCGATAATCTTATAGGGCTCTGATCAAGTAGCAATATTTGATCAAGATGTATTGCCATTGCTTCTCTGTATAGTAAAAGCATAAAATGGACTTTAGGGTCTTTCTGTTTCTCACAAGTTTGATTTAACTGGAGCATTTAATTCTGATTCTCCTTTTCTTAGCTGATGAATGTCAACATAATGTGCACTGGCTTGGAAAACAGGCAGATAACTGTTCCATTCCAGACTGAGCATGGATAACTTAGCTGCTTAGTACTAAACTGTTATGCAGTCCCCATTTTAGAACATCAGAAAAGGTTACCTTCTTCCAAAAACAGTAATTGGTAGTCAGCTGATTGGATGTTAACATTTCTTTTCATGTTCCTTTTCAGTTTTTATCAGCCCCAAACTTCTTTACTCATGGCTACCTTCTGTCCTAAGTGCTCTAAGCAGTTCCTCGTGCAAAAGTGGCTTTCATATCAAGGCGTATTCACTGGCCTTACTGATTTATCTTTTGTATGGGAAGGGATCATTAATTTTACTAAATGTCGAATAAACTGTCAGATTTTTCATCTGGGAAAACTGTGTGGAAGATAAAATATTCAGTTGACCAGGCACTATCTCGTTTTTTTTTTTTTTTTTTTTCTGAATTTCTAGTAAGTTTCTCCAATAGTTAGCTATCACATCTCTTCTTCTTGATTTTTTTTTTTTTTTTAAAGCTTGTCAAATGAGGGTTTCCAGCTATGAGTGCATTAAGTGAGATATTAAAACTTTATTTCCTTTGAAAATATACCTATTAAAAGTAGTCGTACGCCCTCTCTTGCCAATTCTTCCTGAGGTGTGTGTGTCTCAGTGTGTTAGTGAAGGTGAGGTTGCGAGTCTGGATCTTTTCATGTTGTAGTCTTTTTCCTTTAGGGCTTGGATAACGGGATAGTCTTGACAACTGCTGGTCAGTCATCACATCCTAGAAAAGCCCAGTGTCAGTGTTTGATTTCTACCAGTAATTGCTTTTTGGGAATATGTGCTTTTTTTCCAACTCATTACCCTAGCAATCTGTACAGCTTTCAGTCTTTCCATTGTTAATTGATACAATACTTGGAAAGCTGGTAATGAAATCATGTGCTCTTCTCTCAGTGTATTCTAAAAACCTTCTCAGTTCCTTGCTTTGCTTCCTATTTCCGAGTTGCGTACACAACTAATTTATTTCCAATGATCTTAAATATTTGGTTTCACAGCTGCTTTAGTTTTACCATGTATACAGTTGTTTCACCAGTTATTCCAGGGATTTCATCATGCCCATCCACACTGGGTTTTTTAGTGCTCTTATTGTCTGTATTAAATACACATATTTTGGGGCATACCATAACATATTTTGTGAAATGTCACATATAGCCCCTAAGGATGTCCCATTCACATACAGTCTGCGAGAGGTATGGCATTGAATGGGCAACTTGAAAGACTGACAGGCTGGGATGACGAATGTGAGGTCATTTCAGACCATCCTGACTTTTTTGAAAGGGTTAATTTCCACATCTGAGTGCATTAACATTTCCTGATTTCTAAAGCAACAGTGGCTCTGCCCCCTCATTCAGTTTTTGTAAAAATGTTGAAATTGTCCTTTCCTTTTTTGTAAACAGTGTGCATTGTTGAAAGCTGCCTTTCATGATTTGCTTAAGTTGTTGCCAAGGATGTTTTTGTTGTTTTGTTTTTTATTTCGTGTTGTTTTGAGTAACTCACTCTTTCTTCTGTTGCATCTATTGAAAGACACCTTCAGTACTTCTTCCAGTCACTTTCCTACAGAAGGCCCCTGATGTAGATATCAAATGGCATAATTTTTAATGAATAAGCATTTGTTTTTCCCTTCCTCCAGGCTCAAGGGGAATTTACAATGGTTTGAATTCATTCCTCCAAGTATGAATCTAATGCTGCCAAAGGGATTGCTCTGGAAGCGTTTTAATCCATATTGTTTGTGTCTGACATCCTGAAACGTAAGGAGGAAAAAAACCTTTTCTAATTAAAACACATTGGAGTAGATGAACACTGGGGAAAATACTTGCACCAAATCCTTTCAAGGGCTATCCACTATTAGTACCTCTTTACAGCTTAGGACAAGGCATGTTGACTGATGTCCTGCGGGCTGGGACGTCTGGAGTGGCCTGGCAGTGGTGGCTGGCAGGCTTTGCAGCTCAGCTGTGTGGAGCAGGTGGGCCACTCCAGCCTGAAGTCCCTCAGGTCTGCCAGTTTGCAGAGGCAGCTGAACCAATGCAATTGGTAGTCCTGCTCCTGTTCTCCAGCAATTCCCAGCCTGAGGTTTCTCAGGGACCTGTACTGGCAGAAGAGCTTTTGCTGGTACGGCTTGTTTTCTGTTTGACTGGCTCCCTGAGCTGGCTCTCTGCAGGACCCCAGGAGAGCAAGGGTCCCCCGTGGCAGTGCCCAAGGGTCTCGGTTATCCTTGATGGAAGAGGCTGGAGCCTGAGGCTTTAGAGGGCAGCCCAGCCAGTAGCCAAACTGGCTCAACTCTGTGGGAAACCCACACCCCTGGCTCATGCAATTGCGCCCACGCTGTTTAATCCCAGTTGGTTTAAACTGCTTTGGCGATAGCTCCCTGCTAAGCTGAAGAGGTTGAGGAGTGATTACAGGAGCTGCAGATGGCAGATCAGAGTCCAGGCAAGCATGGGGGGGGGGGAAGCAGGGAGAGATGAGAGGTTGGAGCCAGGTGGGACAGCAACCTTGTCGGGTGGCACAGCCTCAGCCCCGGGGAGAGGCAGGGGAACAGAGCAAGAGCTGTCAGCTCCTGAGCGTTTCCTATCCAGGACCGTTTGGTAATGCCGAGACAGTGTTTGATGTCCTGCTTGTTTGTCTTGTTTTACTTGGCCATTGAGATAGTTAACAATTAGCTAATACAAATTGTTTTGGAGAATGCCTTGAGGGAAGACCCGTGTGGCCTGAAAAGTATCAAAAAGTTGTCATGTGTGCTTTTAAATAGTAATGATGATTTAATGACTGTGCCTTTTGTCTCTGCTTTCTGATGTTTGTACCTGAAATAATAGCTGTGCCTCCTTTTATTCTTCTAGCCCATGCTGCTGCATTTGGGCTGCTGCCTCAGCAGGAGGTGAAGTACAGTGTTTCCCACCCTGAAGACAAATCCTTTAAAAATATGTCTCTCTTTTGGTGACAGCTGCTCCCCAAACCTTCCACGGCAAATTCCTTTGCCTTGTTGTGACACCTATAGGGAATGGCCCAGCAGGTTAGCTGCCTGCTCATTTGCTTTCAAACCGCAGCAACCTTAGTCACTCTTAGTATGTGAGTGCGTGGGTGTTTGCATATTCCGGTTTTTCTTTCTTAAGCTTGAGGAAGACCTTCTTTCTGAATAGTGCTTGCTTGGACCTTTTCTGAGCATGATTTCTGCTGCTTTTGTCCTTCCTATAGAAGATTGTAAGTGATTTGGTAGCTGTATTTTAAGGTCTGCTATTCAAGTAAAACAGAGTTCACCCATCAGAGTCTTTATTTAAAAAAAAAAAAAAAAAGAGAGAGAGAGGGAATAATTTTCTGTTCTGAAATATTTTTTAAAAAAAATACTTTATCGAGCTACTGAACTTCATTGCTCTTGTAGCTACTTTTTGCTTTTGTCAGGAGGCCAAGCTGAGGCCAGGATGAGATCATACAGGGAGCTTTGTCAGAAAAGGACAGTGTTCAGTAGCTCTATAAAGAGAGAGAGAGATGGAGGAAGGAGCCTGAGGGCAGAACTGTGCAGAAAAGGTACTTTAGCAATCACTGAGAAGCTACAGCAAACAAATGCGGTGATAGCTTGGATGGGCAGCTAAGTGTTAGATTTTGATAGCAGAGATAGCAACCCCTTTTTGATATTGCTTTGTTTTCAGTCCCTAAGGCTCTGCCTGGTGTGCTTTTGGTTTTACTTTTCAAGAGCAGTTTTACTTAATAATCTTAATTTTATATGACGAATAAACTAAAACTTTATGGTATTTGAGGATTTTACATTATGTTTTGTTTACTTCTTTAGCTTTAATTATTGTAATATAACTGTAAAATAATAGGGCTGTTCTTAGTGGATCTGATACCAAAGCTGTGAATACATTGGACCCTGGGTTAACAAAGGTATTTGCAGTGAGAGTACTGGCAAATGGTAGTGTTAAACCATCACTGGACAAGATACTGAGACCTAAGATATGTCCTGATTAGGGTATATCATCTAACATGTTTTACTGCTTTATTTCAAAACAATAGTATAGATTGGGCAAAGTGTATTTTGGCATATTATCAAATCAAACGTACAGAAATGAGAGAAAAGGACAGAAGAAATGAGGCTGCAATATGAATGAGGAAAAGCTAGAAAGTAAGGATAACCTCTAGGTTATGGGGGACCGTAAGGCTAGATGAACACTTTGCCTAAGTTTCCAATAATAATGCTCACATTATCTGTGGCGGCAAGGCAAAGCAGCTAAAAGGATTACAAGTATAGAATGGAAATTAC